GTGAGATACCAGAAAATGAACCTCTGTTTTTCTCCAGGACGCTAAATTTCCCTGCACAAAAATTCAGGGATCAACAGGTTTAAGATGCAGTGTGGTGGATTGGAAAGAGTCTGCGGTAAGAGTAAATAAATCTAGGATTTTTCTTTCTAACTTGTTCCACTTGGTATAAGGTTATGAGCATAATAACTTTTGGAGTCAGATAGGCCTTCCTCGTCGTATTATATTGGTCAAGTTACTCGGCTACTCTGAGCCTCAGATTCACCATTTGTAAAATGGAATTCTGTAGACATACAGGAACATCTCCCTCCAGTTCTGAGTGAAAGCTCTGTCTAACTCTTCCCAGGAAGTGAAGCAGTTAGTTGGCCAGCTCCTTATTTATACTCCAAGAAGATGTCAACGATACCCACACACTTAGTGCAGAAGTTCACGGTTACATGTCTGAAGGTTCATCATGGGACCTTTCAGAGATCTTGGCAAATCTTCGGTTAAGCTAGGAATTTCCCAATGACCCACACAGAGATAACAGCAAAGGTACAGATAGCAGCTCACACTTAAAAAGTGGCTTGACATTCTAACTTCACCTGGGAAGAGGTGAACGCATGAAAAACGTCAATTTGCTCATGGTAGGCAATTGTTGATAACATTACTAAACCTCTCCTTTTCTTTTTTCTTTTTTTAGGTAGGGGATATTTCCCCCTCCTTCACTGTAATATTTGATGTAATCTTCAGGATTAAAGCAACAGCTATGTCCTAATGTTCATTCAGTTTTAGGATAACCACAAAGGTTTCATGAATGTGAAATGCTAGTTACACAAATATGAAATGGATCTGTGATGAGGATACTGGGCACATGATATAACAAAGTCCCAAAGGCATTTCACCTGGGACCTGAGCTTTCCTTCCAGAACATCAGCAAACAGTTCAAAATTAATGTAACACACCATGCAATTTGCCATATAGCTACACTAGCCTGATCATTTTTTTCCCCTCATTATATAAAACCTAATTAGTTAAAGGGCAATTCAAATGAAACTTTTATTTGGGGGATTTAGAAGTATTAAAGCAAAGGGAAAAAAAAAACCAAACAAACACTGCAGCTGTCTGGATAGCATGAACATGATTATTAATAACCCTTGGGTGGGGAAATGATTAACCTTGTTGTTTTCCTCACGATCCAGGTTTCTACAGTAAACGGGTACTGAACAAAAATATTTGGATGCTGTCTGGAAAACAACTTTTACAAGGTCTCCAACTGGCATCAAATATTTTTAAGTGAGAAAATATATCTGGGCTTTCTCGCCAGGCTGATGGATCCCTGCGGGTAGCACTTCCCTTCTTTAATGGTCCTGTCAATTAAATCATATTAGAGATGAAGTTTTAACTCCAAGATGAAGGTAATGCTCATTATAAGAGAAAACAGGAAAATGGAATATTTCCCTGAAGTGAACCATTATTTCTAATTGAAAGAGGTAGAGAGGAGGGGACAGCCGGACACCTCCATCAATATTCTATGTTTTATATACCATGATCTCAATCACTTAAAAGTAATTTGAAGAAATAATGTATACTTGGGTTCACAGAATGTTTACATTTATCTTTTGTTGCTATTCTAAGACATATTTTTTATTTGTTAAAAAATGCCAAGTTATTTGAAATGGTGTTTCCTGATGTGATCTTTCATGTCAGTGGCTGGCCTACCTTTAATCTCTGAGTCATCTGTCATTTCCTTTTTAAGTGATAATCACCCACACAAAGCTATTTGCACATTAGGCCAGTTCTTATTCTAATTATGGTCTTTATAATATACTGTTTAACGTAATTAGTGAAATCACTTGCTTTTCAGGACTAAGGATCAGATAATATATGCTAGAAGGTAATCATTAGTTTATCACTCTAGCAAAAACATCCACACCAAACCAACTATTAATTTGCATCGTCAGCATCAACAAATGTTCACTTGGATAAAATCGTGAATGTTTACTTCTAAATGTGTGATACATTTTATGTATAAAAAAAAAGAAACCTGAATGAATTACTGCCACATTAGGTAAAGTAAAAACAGAGATCACAAGGCTCGAATGACTATAGATCTATTTTGGGATTCATTAATTGCTGACAATATCACCAGGATTTTTTCAGCCATGGCCAAAGCACATCAAAATGACCAAGTTTTTAAATCAAGAACCTTAGAAATGGTTGGGAAACCTATTTCCTAAAAAAATAGACAACAGCAGGTACAAATGACCTTAATGGGAAATTTGTTTCAAAAACATTTTTAGCAGATGATCGGAAAGGATGACCACTCTGTCCAGGCATTTGAACCTTAATACTGGTATTGACAGTTTGGGACTATCCTGAAATCTATTAGGGCTCCAAAATCTTTAGTCATTTTGTGTATAGCATATGTATGTGAACTTATGGTTACATACATCAATAATTTACATCAATAATATGTATCATTCACTTGAGATATGCTTTGATGATGGGAGTCTCATGGGTGTTACATCTGTTGTAATGGCATTGTCTATATACTGGGTGGAATTATGCTCGTTGATTCCTTCTTTGGGAGAGAGGGAAAAGCCCTGGCAAACACCCAAACTTAGTTAAAAATTCCAAGCAACTCCCTCTTTTCTGGCGTATACCTTGGAAACCCATTCCTGTTCCCTTTAGAGTAGGTATCGAGTCATCTATGCGTGAATTCTTGCCCCTTGGAGCAAAGGAAAGGAATCCACTAGTGTACCCAATGAGCACCTTATGAGCCCACAAAGAAGGAAGGTGTGAATGCCATTTAAGCAGCCCAGAAGATCCTATCCTATTTGATGGTTTTTATCATAAATCTCTTGTCTTAAAAGCCAGCAATCAGCAAGCTAGTTGTGTGTGAGGTTGGGTGACTCCTGGCAGCTTTCACACCCTGTTTGCTGGAGAAATCTGGGGGAACACCCACTATACTCCAAGCAGAGCAGCCAGGGGCCTAAGGAAGGCAGGTTACAAACTACTGTTTTATTTGCTAGCGGGTTTTGGTTAGGTATTAAAGAGTTAAATTTTCCTAGGTTCCTGATAATGAAGGTGGATACATTTTCCAAAGGCAAAACAAAGCATCCTTTCAGGTCACCACTGATTTCGAAATAAAACAAAGCAAAACAAAACTGGAATTTCCTGACTCAGTGTGTAAAAGGTCAACATCTGCTGATGCTCAAAGATGGGGCACGTGGTGGAGGCGGCCGGATGAGATGTCGAGTGAGCAATACAGTCAGAGATTCCATGCAACACACGACTGACACTCCAAACAGAAACACACCCCAGCGCCCAAGAACTACTTTCCATGCATCCATTTCTGAAAATCTGACAGGTCAGACTGCCATGGCAGCCTCAATAATCCGTCTCAGCTGTCTTCCACTTGGTCCCCTTTTGTTCTAAGATGCATATGTAGATAAAATTGTCAAGGCCTGAAAGGAGCCCACTGTGTGTGTGTGCGTGCGTGTGTGTGTGTGTGTGTGTGTGTATACACACACAATTAGGCAAATGCCAGGGGAGATACTAAAGCAGAACTTGGAGACTATGAGAGCTGAAAGTTTCACCTGCACATCTGTAGCATTAATGCCATTTCAACAAGATCATAAAGACCAGGCTGTAGCATTAGGCTGGGATCTAAAAGGATGTGAACACTACCCCTATTTACAAAGCCGCTGATTTTCATGGCATTTCACATGTCTAATGCTTAACAAATCTGTGTCCAGACCTATTCACAAGCTTAAGTAAACTGGCTCGATGTACAAGTTGGAAGACCTGACTGTGCATTTATAAGAAGTGGGAAGTTGTTTTTATCCAAATTATCAGAGTTTTGCGTTCAAGATGGTTGTTGGGTATTCAATGGCTGCTGTTTACGCTGCAATCACCCTGGGTGGCCGGGCACCCATGATGCAGTCTGTGAGGGGTTGAGACCACAGTGAGAATTCTCCTCTTCACCTACAGTGCATAATCTCTGCCTCCTCAGCACTGTTTGGAATAGGTTATTCAGCAGTCGTGCAAAGGATTTAACCATCAGAGAGAAAGGGTGCGAAATATAAAAACATGTGAGATCCTGCCCTGCAAAGCTGTGGGGCATTTCCTTAATGAGCATTTCAGGCTTGGTGTGGGGTGTCATTGTTTTATATGTGAACAAGGAGCTACAGTCTGGCTCTCCCACCATAGCTGGGAGAATGCTCTTTGCCATGGTACTGGAGAAATGTTTCATAGAGGCTTGAAGAGGGATTTCTCTTTTAAACTGCTTCTATTTCTACTAAAAGACTTCTTGCAGAAATTTCAACTAGCTGGATTCCTAAATTCTGCATCTGTTTTTTATACCCCATTCTCTATCAAACTTAAACTAAGTAGTCAGGAAAAGATGGATCACTGTATTTTTGGAGGGAGAAATGGACATACTGATTTTTCTCCCCTTCATTCCTCCAGAAAGACTAATGAGCACCAACCTGCCTCTTTCAGGCCTTCACAAAGACTGGAGTATAATAAATTACTAAAATTCCCTCTGGTTTCATGGCGTTTTCATTGGGTTCTGATGAATATGCCTAAAGCGTTCATTGGTATTCATTCTCTGCTTTTAAAAATTATGGGAGAAATCCATATCCAGTCCTAAGGAGAAAGTTCAATTTGTTGTCCATTACTAAGTATGGGTAAATAGGACTATTTATATTTTTGCTAAATGAGCTATGGTTACCTAAGTAATTACACCTCTGTAAAGGTAGCCTTCCTTCATTGGTCAAAAGCAGTCAAGAGAGCCATGGTACTGCCGTATCCACGGGGAAGTTACGCTTCGATAACTATTTTATCTGCCCTCTCACCCTATTTGTGCAGAGAACACACACAACAGTTCAATTCACAAAGAAAATACCCTCTTACATCAGAAATGGACACTGGGAAAATAGACCTTAGGAGCTCAACAAGGAAACAAAGCTAGCCTAGACTTGGTTTCGTGACTTTTTTTTTTTTTTTTTTTTACTTACTACCGATACTGGAAATACTGGGGATACCTGGAGAGAAAGAAAAGAATAAAGAAAAGCTATTAGACAGTTATTAATACATGCCATCTTTAACTTAATATAAACATCTCAGAAACTTAACACTTAATAGCATTCAGATCATTAGGAAATATGCATAGAAAAAGCAAGATATCTATTCATCCATCAAAGCCATTTTGTTTTCATTCTGGAACTCCCAAACTTAGCAGGGTTGGAAAATGAATGCTCAACTTCAACAGCTGGTTCAAGGCAGCTTCATGATATCAAACATTTTGTGCCTGCCTGTAAGGTTAATGAACATTTGTACATGGTTCAAAACAGATTTTAAACCAGGCTTATGTTCTGGGCATAGAATGCCAAATATACACTATGTGGACCTGTACAACTATACCCATGTATGCACCAGACCTCTTTAGATGTGTTATGAGATGCCTATGTTAGCCGTTGAAAGTCATTTGGCTCTTTATTTGATTAATTTCACAGAGCCATCATTTCTAGTCCTCTTTTACTTGTCAGATACGTGGATTAAACTCTGTAATAGAAACTTAATTGAGCAGAATAATTCAAGAATACATTAGGTTGTTCATATTGATTATGGATTTCATCCATTCTCCCAGCTTCCACTTCAATTTACAGGTTGTGCGAAGGTGATGGGACCATTTTGGAATGCAATGGACTTGGTACCAACGTGGACAGGAATTTAGTCTGTCCCCTGAAAACTCCTAGCCAAGAGCAGGGGCACGGGAGGCAGGCTGTCCGGGTTTGAAGCTTTGCTCTTACACTCACTGACGGTGTGACCTTGGGCAAGTTGCTTATGTTTGGTTTTCTACCTCTTAGGGCTGTTGCAAGGATACACAAATGGATGTATGTAAAGTACTTAAGGTGTTGCTTGGCGGGTGGTGGGTACTCTTCTCGTCTTTGGTACGGATTGCTGTTATTGATACAGTCAGTTCACCAAGCAAATAACACTACAATAGGTATTGCTGATGAAGAGTCAGAGATTTACAACATCCCTGATAAATTTGGGTCATGGTGCGGATGGGAGCTGGGGATGGGACTCAGACAGAAGCAAGTGAGAGTCCTGTTTGGCTATGGACCAGGTGGGTGATTTCAGGCAAGTTCCCAGCCTCTCTAGGCCTGTTTTCTCACCTGAAAGGGGTTAATAATATCCACTGCATAGGGCTGCTGTGAGGATTGAATGAAATAATCCATAAAAATGTCTGACACATGGTACATAGCCAATAAGTGATAGCTATTAATGAGCTGTGCAAGCTTGTTCTCCACATCACTGAAGTGTACTCCTAACAGGTGGTAAACGTAGGAATCATTAAACTTCTATTTTTGTATTTATCTTCGAACAACTGCCCTCTGCTTGTTTTAACATTTAACATTTAACATAACAGGTTTAATCATTGTACCTTACTCAGAGATTTCGAGCCCTGTAGTCTTTAAACCCAAGAGCTAGTTTCCCATTTCTCAATGGGGAGGGGAGAAGGAGGAATTAAAGTTTACCATGATTTTTTTTTAAAAAACCTCGGAAGGAATGAAATTTTTATCTCTAGCTATTAAGTACATTCAGAATCTCTTGATTTTAAATGCACAGAGTTTAGGGTGCTTCAGCTTAATCACTGATCACTCTTCCACCAAAAGTGGAAACTGGATTTCCATTTCTGTGTTTTAACTCTGTTCCCTGAACTGAATTTCGAGCTGAATGCAATCTCTTCAAAGGGCTGCTGAATTCCTGACCCGACACTTCAGCCAACTCTCTTCGCTGCAGCGTGACACTGACTTGGTACTGAATCTTTCCTTTTTTTTTTTTCTTTGTTAATCCCCTGTTGAGTGAGGTGTGATGGCAGCATCTTAATTTTAGAATCAATTGCAGAAGCTCCAAATTACCCCGTGTTTGAAAATCCGGCTCCATTGGAACGGCTTGCCTTTTGTAATCTGTCAAAGACAATGGGAGTTGGGGTGGCAGGAAGAGACTTTCCAGGTGTTTTCAAACTTACAGGGAGTTAGAGGGCCATGCATAATGCAAGGCGAAGTTCTCAGGCTGTTTGGCCAGATGCAATGGAGAGCAAATCTGCAAGACTGTTTGATGCAGTACTTGCTGCGGCTGAATACTCTAGAAAGGTGCAGAAATGTTTCCATTCCTTTGGGGATGCCAGTGCAGGGAGAAATGTTCACTGCCGCTATACAGAGCTCGCCAAGCGAGGCTATTATGAGATCCTATTTTCTTCCTGAAGATGTTTTCTATTACCTAACATTTTGGATGCTTAATATTCAGCTTCTTCCTCATTTTGTGGCTTACAATTTTTTGAGGTGCTGCCATGTGAGTCGCTTTCTGTTCCATTGCTGTAAAATGGGAATTGCTTGGAAAAGATTTTTAAACTTTTCAAAATTGGGATAAAGATTTTTGAAGTAGCAAATAACTGGACACCAGGGGATGGCCATTAGTATGTTTTCAAATGTTATATTTTTTCCCCAAATGGTCCTTATTGTAATGTCCACTTTGCTTTTTGTTTCCTATACACAACTAAAGAACTTAATAAACCCATTACATCCATTAAAAAGGCTACAAGCAAGCCATGAGGAGTCTTTCAGATGCCTAAGGAATAAGACAAGAAGGCTACAATTCATTTCATGAAAGGTGGGTTTTTCTGGGCTCTCGAAGGGATGAATCAATGAATGCAATTTCATCTTACAACAATGACAGTGCCTATAAACCATGGGAATGAGAGTCAGATTATGCTCAGGAAAACTGTTTAAACACACGTTGCCAAGTGACAAGTGTTATGTAAAGAATATTTTTACCTTTAAATATTGAGCTTGGAAGTTATCTCTTCCCTTCCGCTTCATCTTCCTGATGTGAATTAGCCACTTCCTGTGATTGCGTGCCTCCTTGTGCAGGCCTCCCTGAGAAACTTACCTACTTATATTTATAATAGTTTGTGTGTTTGCCTGAGAGGTCGGAGAGGCAATCACCATGTCTCATTCTTTTCTGTATTTCTAGTGTCTGCCGGGAACAATGCCTGATACAGAAGAGCTGCTCAAAACTTTATCACTTGTTACCAAGAATTCTCTATCCTAATGAAAATACTTTTGGTCATAGTATGATCTTGTCCCATATAAAATGTTCCACTGAAACATTTCTCAGCATTCAGTATGAATGGATATTTTTGTTCTCTCTGAACACTTCCTCCATTCCAATAGCCAGAGTTATATGATGTACAGATGCCCCTCACAACTTTGCCTTCCAGAAAGTGCAGAGGCTCAAAACACAACCTGGTGCTCAACTGGGTAAAATCATTTCATATTTGGCTTATTTCCCTTCTATTCCTTCTCTCACACCTTCCTTTTAAACTCTTATTTGGATACTCTTATTTGCATTTGTCTTTTTCCCTAAGCCACCCCGGAGCAAATACTGATGTTGTGGGGTCTAAAGTATATTCAAATCTGGGACGTCTCTTTGAGAAAAAGGATATTAACTTTAAAAGATAAAATTAAATAGAAACTAATTTTTTTTAAAGTGTAGAAGGATTCTTGTGAGGAATCCTGAAATTTAAGCTTCTTAGGTTAAATCCATCTCTGAAACAACCTCAAAAATACTTGTGAAAGATAAATAGATGATAGGTAGACAGAAAGGAAGCAAGATACCAGGTAAGCCAATTCAGAAAGAGTAATTTAAAATGAAACACAGAAAGGGAGTTAAACAATAATCTCATTGAGCTTTTCACTTTGCAAAAGAGGAAACTGAAGGCACAAACAGAAGCAAGAGCCTTGTCTAAGTCCACACCTTTATATTCAACATTGTTCCTAATTCTTGTCTGCTGAGACATTGCTAACCTTGCACTGAGGAAATGAAGCCCAGGTATGCATGAGCTTCACCAGAAGGTTCTGCAGCACATGGCATATGAGTTTAATACTACTGCTTCTTCTAAAAGAGAAATGCTACTTCAGTCAGAGACACACATACATGCTGAATAAGCCAAAGGGCTTTGTGTGCTAAAAGAATGAGCAGGTGCTCAGCTTATAGGCACTTATGGTTAGTCCCTCCTCCACTGGCCTTCTCCACTCCTATATTTATTTTAACGTTTGTTTTAAAGGAATTCTGCTGCAATTAGAGAGATGAGAACTTAGTAGAATTATATAATTGTTTTCTCTTCCTCCTCCTCCTTCTTGCAATTTTACTAACCCTCCCACCAAATAAATGGCTAAAGGGGGCATAGTTAGGCAACATGATGGAGATCTCAAAAATAAACATCCTGATCTTCTGAAACAGATTGATGTAGTGCTAAAAGCCATAACTCCTTCTGAGAATCAATGCAAAGTCAGCAGCTTTTCATGGAGGAAATCAGAAGGGACACAGATTTGGCATGCCTCAAATTGAGAGGAAATACTGCCCTTGTCGTGATACATGGCTTGTAAAAAGCCCATCAAGTAGATGACTAGATCTTCAGAAGAAGCCAGGCTGCAGCCATTGGGAGCTTTAACTCCAAAAAACCCAGTCGAAGAAGAGGTGGGTGATGAGGAAGAAAACATTCTGCAGCCTCATTTGTTTTCTGGAGGAATTATTTCCAATGTCCTTCCAGTCCCAGTTCTTGGTCCCACTGTGTTGATAGGAGGCACAGTGAGTTGTCTACTAGGAACTTGAAAGTGGAGGAAATAAAGTTGCCTTCACAGAATTGTACCGTGAAACCATCATATAGATGATCCAATCAAAGACAGCTAAAGTCATCTTACAGCAACTAAGGGGTCTAGGACCTGAGTGTATGTATCAGACTTGACAGAGGTGACATCAACCTGAGGTAGCCTATTGACATATCTGAAGAACGGGAGCACAGCCAATCAGAAGGGGGAAGCATAGAAAGAAGAACATTTTCAGGCATATGGTAGCCCTGTTGGCCTACCATTGTCTCAGGAAGAGGGAGGGATAATCTATAAGCTCTCAGACCTACAGAGTTCTGTTGGCATTAGGGAGGCTGACTCTGAGGTAGGATGGATGTGTCAGGAGG